GGCCCCTTTCCCCTGTCTGTGGAGAGACAGAGAGAGAGAGAGAGCGATGGAGCTGTTAAACTCAAGCTAGTTTCAGTTACTGCTCTTGGTTCGATCCATGTCCAGGGACTGAGGTGTTTGTGGACAGTCAGTGGTACGGACCAAGACTCGGGCCTCACTGCTGTGCCCTTAACAGGCTTCACAATCTGCTTGCTGTCGTTCACTCTTGGTGTCACGTGTGATCTGCAGTGAAGGAATAGCAGCTGAAAACAGCTGCACGGTACATGGATAGACCAGAATCTGAAAAAGGAGGGGACAACGGGGAGCAGCAGGTGGGGGATGGAGGTATTTGGGGCAAGGAGCGGCACCAGGCCCTGGTCATGGCTTCCAGTATGCCCATTCATGAGCAGCACAGAGGCTGAAGAAGACATAGTGACCAGGCCAGAGTGGAGGAGAGCCACTCCACAGGCACTACCAGGTGGGGAAGCTCCACAATGGCATGTGGCTCAGTGGTTAGCACTGCTGCCTCACAGCGCCAGGGACCCGGGTTCAATTCCACCCTCGGGCAACTATCTGTGTAGAGATTGCACATTCTCCCTGTGTCTTTGTGTGTTTCCTCTGGGTGCTCGAGTTTCCTCCCATAGTCCAAAGATGTGCAGGTTAGGTGGATTGGCCTTGGGAAATGCAGGATTACAAGGCCAGGAATGTGGTTGAGGGTCTGGGGCTGGGTGGGATGATCTTTGGAGGGTTAGTGTGGACCCGATAGGCCAAATGGCCTGTTTCCACACTGTAAGGACTCCATGATTAGCCCTAACTTCCGCCATGGACCCTGAGCCTTTCAGCCTCCAATATCTTCACCCTTAGCATCCACCTCACTGTCTTGTGCATGCATTGGTGCTGATGTCACTCTGAAAAATGTAGTGACATCAGCAGTATCCCTTCCTTCCCTCAGCCATTGGCTATTACGTTGTCCTTTTGCCACAATTTACATTTAAAAATCCAACAGAAAATATACATTTCAATGCACTTTTGGAAATTAAATCATTTTCTGCATGGTTCTGCACATCCTGGTAACTGCTGTGTGACTGGTGGAAACAACTTTCTGCACAGTAAGGGAGGCTGCAGTCATCCTTCAGCAGCTTCAGGCCTGCAGGTCAGGCTTCAGACAGCACCATCACAGCATCATGTCATTGCTCAGTGTTTGTTGTGTACATCTATTGGCTCTGAGGGCTCAATCTGTGGGTGTAGGTACAATGAAACAGAAACTAAGTGGTAAGCACGAGAAAGCAGACATTTTAAATGTATGGAAATAAAGCTTCTGTTCATACACAGAACTTGCTGGGAGCCATCCTGACATATCCCTGAGGCACAAACCTCAATAAACAATTGTTACTAGCTGACAGCAATAGTAAGGGAGTAATAACAGTGTGGAACAGTGGGTTGAGAGTAGTAACACAACCCTGTGCTGGTTCATGCTCCATGGAGCCATTGACACTGTTGGGGCAGCATCTCATTGATTCCATTGAAATTGCAATTGGTCTCAGTCTCCAGGATGGAAACACTGAGCTCCAACCTACAACATTATTGATAGACTTGTGCGTGCTCCTTGACACTGCATGTAGCGTTTCTGGTAGGTTCTGCCAACACACTAGACATCTTGGTGGTAACCCATCAGCTTTATACTCGCATGATCCATCAAAATTCTCATCAGTGTCCTCTGTGGCAAAATTACTGTGTGACTTTTCCCCCTTTTACCTGCGCTGTCCTTCTCCTCACTCCATGCTGTCTGCCAGTGCCTCACCAGTTGTAGATCTCACCTCTCTGCTATTGTCTAAACTATAAACAGTGTCAATGTTTGAGCTGATGGTTGTGACAGTGAAATTGAGTGTAAGCCTGTCTTCTTTACTACCATCTTCCTGCTGAAATGAAATTCCACCTGAAATGAAATCAGGACAAACGTTGGGTTGTTCTGAGGGGAGAACGTCCATCCTGACAGCATCTGCAGCTTGCAAGGCAAGAGGCTGGCGGAGGACAGGCAAATGGACATAAGACAGAGGATTGAGAATGAGGATACCGTTATCCTTGATGGTGTCAGCCCCACTAGTAACCACAGCCTCAGCAATGATCCTTCCCACCATGTCCAGCACTGTTGCCTCCAAGGGAACTGAGACCTCCAGGCCACCTGTGCCCTGCTAGTTACTGCCTGAAATGTCCAAATGTGTGCCACTTCCTGTAGGAGAGATGAAAGTGTGCCAGTAAATGTCATGTGATCTGTTTGGACAATGTGGCAGCCATGTTTGAATAGCTGCTAGTATCTACACACTGTGAGAAGCATGGTGAAGTTTGCAACAATGTCAGGGTGAAGTAATGCATGTCATATCAGGAATGAGTTCAGAGTGGTAAAGATTGCTTATGGATGTGGTATTAGTGTTATAGTATGTTGGTCAATGGGTGATGCTTAGAGCTGCATTTAGAATCTGCCATTTAAAGTCACATTTCCTAACCTTAACTGAACCTTGAGGAGATGGCAGTAGCATGGCATTGTCACTAAATTTGTAATTTATGAAGCTCAGGCTAATATTCTGATTTGTTTCACAGAGACCTTTAAGCAAGTATTGATTGTTTATTAATACTCTTTAGAGAATGAAATCTGCCATTCTTACCTGGTCTGATTGACTTGTAACTGCCTTGAAATAGCCAAACAAGCCCTTCCATTCAAGGGGAAAACAAATGTGCGCCCAGCTTGTGATGCCCACATCCCATGACAAGAATAATCACACCTGTGATGTCATTAACATATTCCAGCATAGAATCAGACAATACAAGTGGCCCTTTGGTCCATCAAGTCTATACCACTAAAACTACACTAAATTTACTTTGTCGATCCTGCCAACAGTTCTCACGTCCCACTCATCAGGTGCCAGGAAACTCTCTGATCTCCTAAGAAAATGAAACATCTCATTTTGTTTCTGTTGCCTTCACCAAGACATTCGGTGTAGAAACCTCTCCCAACACCAGCCAATCCTCGCTCATTCCCAGATTAAATTCAGTGGCAGAGTGACTCCCAGCACCCACTGCACTTATAAAGTATTTTCCCTTGGGGTGTAGGCTGGGTTTAGGTGGTGTTGAAAAAGTGTTTGACAAAGTCCCACATAAGAGATCAATGTGCAAGATTAAAGCGCATGGGATTGGGGAAGTGTATTGAGATGGATAGGAAACTGGTTAGCAGAGAGGAAACAAATAGTAGGAATTAATGGGTCCTTTTCAAATTGGCAGTCAGTAACTACTGGGGTGCCACAGGGATCAGTGCTGGGACCCCAGGTATTCACAATATATATTAATGATTTGGATGAGGGAACAAAATATAACATCTCCAAGTTTGCAGATGATATCAAGTTAGGTGGGAGGGGGAGGGTGAACTGTGATAAAGATGCAGAGATCCTTCAGCATGATCTGGACAGGTTGGGTGAGTGGGCAAATCAATGGCAGATGCAGTATAATTTGCACAAATCATAGAATCCTTACAGTGTGGAAACAGGTCCTTCAGCCCAACAAGCCCACACCGACACTCAGAGCATCCCACCCAGACCCACACCATCTATCTATCCCTGACCACTACGGGCAATTTAGCATGGTCAATGCACGTAACCTGCACATCTTTGGACTGTGGGAGGAAACCAGAGCACCTGGAGGAAACCCACGCAGACATGGGGAGAATGTGCAAACTGTACATAGACAGTCGCCTGAGGGTGGAATCGAACCCAGGTCCCTGGCGCTGTGAGGCAGCAGCGCTAACCACTGAGCCATCATGCCACCCATGAGGTTAACTTTGGAAGCAAAAACAAGGAGGCAGATTATTACATGAATGGCGGTAAATTGGGAGAGGGGAGTGTGCAGTGGTGCCTGGGTGTCCTTGTACAGCAGTCACGGAAGGTAAGCATGTAGGTGCAGCAGGCGGTAAAGAAGGCAAATGATATGTTGGCCTTCATTGCGAGAGGTTTCAAGTACAGGAGCAGGGATGTGCTGTTGCAGTTATACAGGGCCTTGGTGAGGCCACACCTGGAATATTGTAGGCAGTTTTGGTCTCCTTTTCTGTGGAAGGACGCTGTTGGTCTCGAGGGAGTGCAACAAAGGTTTACCAGGCTGATTCCGGGGATTGCAGGCCTGACGTATGAGGAGAGATTGACTAGGTTGGGATTGTTTTCTCTAGAGTTCAGACAAATGAGGCGGGGGATCTCATAGAGACTTATAAAATTCTAACAGGACTGGACAGGGTAGATGCAGGGAAGATGTTCCTGGTGGTGGGTGTGTCCACAAACAGGGGTCACAGTCTGAGGATTCAGGGTAGATGATCTAGGACGGAGATGAGGGGACATTTCTTCACCCAAAGAATGTTGAGCCTGTGGAATTCATTACCACAGGAAGTAGTTGATGCCAAAACATTGAATCTATTCAAGAGGTGACTAAATATAGCACATGGGGCGAATGGGATCAAAAGTAATAGGGAGAAAGCAGGATTAGATTATTGAGTTGGACGATCAGCCATGTTTGAGATGAATGGCGGAGCAGGCACGAAGGGCGGAATGGCCTCCTCCTGCTCCTATTTTTATATGTATGTCACTGGGTCCCCTGTTAAGGCAACAGTTTGAGCAGCACAGTTAGCACTGATGACTCCTTGACATTGTTATATTTGGCAGATAGAATGAAGTTGACACACTGCTTAATTCCACTAAACGGACCTGGGTTAATCATGCATCACAATTTCTATGAAATTCTTAAAAAGATACAGAGAGATGTCCAGGAAGAAGCATTCAAAATGAGATGGAGATTAATCTGCTGGTAATCTGATATTTTATTGTCTTCCAGACTCCTTCTAACGGCACGTGCATATGTGGCAGCCTTAAGTGGCTGAAATGCACAATGCAATTTTCAATAAACTACAATCACTACATCTGTTTTTTGAGGGCTAACCAGTGTATAAACCAATTTGTTCTAAATCCCCTTTTATTTAAACATATCAGACTCTGGAGACCATGGACACAGGAAAACCCTTTCTGCAGTCATTTGCCGTTGACTTAGAGGGCTGCGTAAGGACACTGCGGTACTATGCTGGATGGGCAGATAAGATCCACGGGCAAAGTATACCAGTGGGTACGTCTGTTGTGCACATTGCACCATTTATTAGCAAATCTTGCTGCTTAGAGTACAAATATCTATTAACTCCCACACACCAACACACCCCAACACCTCAATTTTATAAACCTATACTCTGGGATCTGTCTGTCAATTGTTAATATTATGCTTTTCTATTGGCAGATGGAGATTTTGTGATGTTTACAAGACATGAACCGATTGGTGTCTGTGGACAGATTATTCCAGTGAGTTGGAATGAGAAACTCATTCAGTGATACAAGAGCTTAATTTTTATTTTTAAGTTGATTTCTAACAATTCAATTAAAGGAAAATAATTACAGCAATTTTTAAGAAAGCAGTTCTGATGTAAGGAGGGGTTAAGGACAGCATCCTCTGATGCTGCTTGGCCTGCTGTGTTCATCCACCTCTACACCTTGTTATCTCTGATGTAAGGAAGTGTTCTTTTCAAGTGTACTCTATTAAATTAATGTCTGAAAATTCTTCATAAATATTCCTTGATCACCAAAATATAATTAACAAAACTCCAGAGGCTGTAAACATTTTAGCTGTGGCTAAAGAGGATACAAGGCCCAGCAATCTCTTCCCTGCCTCCCTCAGTATCTTGGGAAAGATCCCATAAGGCCCTGGGACTTATCCACCTTAATGTTTTTCAACACCACATCCTCCTTAACAGTGACACATTCCTGAATATCAGTATACCCCTCCCTAATCTTAGCATCAGGGAAATTAGGACTGACAATGAAGGCTCTCCCATCCTGAGGTGTTTACATCCCACAAACAAATAAATAAGTTTTAGAGTCATAGAGTTGTACAGCACGAAAACAGACCCTTCAGTCCAACTCGTCCATGCCGACGAAATATCCTAAAGTAATCGGGCCCCATTTGCCAGCATTTGGCCCATTTCCCTGAAAATCCTTCCAATTCATATTATCATCCAGATGTCTCTTAAATGTTGTAATTGTACCAGCCTCCACCATTTCCTCTGGCAGTTCATTCCATACATGCATCACCCTCTGCGTGAAAAAGTTGCCCCTTAGGTTCCTTTTAAATCTTTCCCCTCTCACCTTAAACCTATGCCCTCTAGTTCTGGGCTCCCCTATCTTGGAGTAAAGACCTTGACTATTTACCCTATGCATGCCCCGCAAGATTTTATAAACCTCTTTAAGGTCACCCCTCAGCCTCTGATGCTCCAGAGAAAATAGCCCCAGCCTATTCAGCTTCTCACTATAGCTCAAACCCTTCAACCCTGGCAATGTCCTTGTAAATATTTTCTGAACCTTTTCAGTTTAACAGCATCCTTCCTGCAGCCAGGAGATCAGAATTGAATGCAGTATTCCAATAGTGGCCAAACCAATGTCCTTTGCAGCTGCAACATGTCCTCCCAACTCCTGTACACAATAAAGGCAAGCATACCAAATGCCTTCTACCTGCGACTCCACTTTCAAGGAACTACCTGCACTCCAAGGTCCCTTTGTTTGGCAACACTCCCAGGACCTTACCAGTAAGTGTATAAGTATTGCCCTGATTTGCCTTTCCAAAATGCAGCACCTCACATTTATCTAGAAAAAACTCCATCTGGCGCTCCTCGGCCCATTGATCCATCTGATCAAGGTCCCGTAGTACTCTGAGATAACCTTCTTCACTGTCAACCAATTTTGGTGTCATCTGCAAATTTGCTAACCATACCCCCTAAACTATCTAATTTGTACAACTACCAATAGTTACTTTCCATTTTTAGGTACAGCACATAAATTGATAACACAACTGATGAACTGCTGGGCTTTCTCACAGTGTTGTGACTGCATTTAATCAAATTCTTTTAACAAAATCAGGACACAGAAGGGAAGGATCTATTCCCTTCCTGCTGAAGTTCTTGACCACGGACAGAAAGGAATGGGATCCTGAGCAACTGGATCTTCCCCAAAATTCCCCTCCTCACCTGTAATCTAATGTTAATCATTATCCCAGTTCAGAAGTTTCTTGCACTGTTGAAACCCGGTGTGAATCCAATGTGAATGCCATTGACCAATAAGCTACCTGTGCAGAAGCAGCTTAGTAATTCAGGCTCTCAGTGAAGGGTTTCATAGCTGTGTGTATGACAGTTCAATCAGTTTATCAAATACTTTGATCTTTCTTGTATGTTTGTAGGCAACAACACCTTTCACAGGTTATTTTTAAAGAGAGGTCTATTTTGTTGTGTTTTGTCCTATTATCCTTCATGCCTGTAATAGACTTGCAGAGATCCACATCACTTCCGAAATATATGCATGAATCACAAATTAACAGACCTGAAAAGCAGTCTTTGTTTTGCCACCTGTGAGGTTGAGGTTATTGGATCTGAGCTTTCTCACACAGTCACACTCCAATCCCACAGAGACTGCTGGCTTCACTCCAGCTCCCAATGGAAACATTACCGCCAATACTAGTTCGGAAAAAGAATAGAAGAATCAGTGAGACAAACCGTTGCAGTATTCATTAAGAATGTCACCAAACGTGGAGAAATACAGAGAGAAAAACCAAAAGAACTGTGGATGCTAGAAATCGGAAACAAAAACAGAAATTGCTGGAAAAGCTGAGCAGGTCTGGCAGCATCTGTGGACTGAAATCAGAGTCAACGTTTTGGGTCCAATGACCCTCAGAACAGAATTGAGCTATTCCAGCAATTTCTGTTTTTGTATGTGAAATATAGAGAGATATTGGCCATTTACTGTAATGCTTTCTATTCCTGAATATCATTCTTCTCCTTCTCACCTTTTTACCTCCAACTGCTTTTCTTATTCACTCAACTGTCTCACTCGTAAATTTTAGATCCTAACAACCCTGTATTTCTACATTTAATCTGATCTGACAATGTGCTTCTTTTCCCAGTGGAATTTCCCCCTGCTGATGTTCATTTGGAAAGTGGCTCCAGCAGTTTGCTGTGGGAATACTGTAGTGATTAAACCAGCCGAACAGACTCCCCTCACAGCTCTTTACATGGGAGCCTTAATCAAGGAGGTCAGTACTGTTCACCTATTATGCTGGAATAGTCAGCAACACCCGCATACCTTGAGCAAAGTTTTAAAAGGTAAATTATCTGATTTTTTGATGCTGGTCATGGGATAAATATTGGCCCAGGGTAGTAGGGACAATTTCCTTCTGTTCTTCAAACAATGCCATGGGATCCCACCTGAACGAGTAATAGACTCAGAATAGAATTAATGGTCACATTGGAGAAATGTGAGTTAATTAGGAAGAGGCAGCAGGGTTTTCTTAAAGGGAAATCATGTTCAATAAATTGTTGGAGTTTTTTAAAGATTTATCAGAGAGGGTCAATGAGGGTAACAATATTGATGTGGTATACGAGGATATCCAGAGGATGTTCGAAACTGTGCCATACTACAGACATGTGTGGAAAATTAGAGCTCATTGAATAAAAGGGACAGGAGAAACTTAACCAAGTGACAAGAAACAGAGAGAAATAGTCAATGGATAGATTGGGGATTGAAATAAGGTTTGTACCGAAGTTCCCTGGGGTTAGTATTGAGACCTTTGCTTTTCCTGGTATACATTAATAATCAAAATCTTTGTGTGGATGAAGACATTTTCAAAGTTTGCAAATGACACAAAACTTAGAAGGTGAAAATCATAGTGTAGTGTTTCAAAAAGACATAGACAAGTTGGAGTGAGCAGATATTTGGTAGATGAAGTTCAATATAGAAAAGTATGAAGTATGCATTCTGATTGAAAGAACACAGAGATACACTATAAACTAAAGAAAACCACTCTCAAGGAGGTGCAGGAGCAAAAAGACCTGGGTGATATGTACATGAGTCATTAAAGATGGCTTTAAAAAGTCATTAAAAAGGACAGGTGGAGCAAGCAGTTAATGAAGCATTCGATACCCCATCCTTTACTAATAAGGAGTACAATAGCAAGAATATTATGCTGCACTTGTATAAGACATTAATTAGAACTCAGCTGGAGTATTATTTACGTTATAGGAAGGATGTGAATGCATTGGAGAAAGTGCTGAAATGATTTACAAGAACAGTTTAATGGGTGAGGAACTTCATTTATGAGGATAGTTTGCAGAAGTTGGGACTGTTCTCCTTGGAGAGAAGAAGGCTAAGACGGGATAAAAGTATCGGGAACTACAGTACACAGACTTAAAGCTTACAAAAGAAACAAATTTAAAATGAGAAAAACTTTTTTCACACAATAAGAGGGTTGAGTCTGGAATGCACATCCTGCAGGTTTGTTGGAGGGAGATTCAATTGAGGCATTCAAGAGGGTACTTGAAAAAACTCCATGAAGGTTAGTATCCCCTCACCAAGTCATTCTTTACTTACATATGCTTAGTACATGACACTGACCAAGCTAGCTCAGTCCTGGCTCCCAGAGTGAACAGAACCCCTGACACTCCTGTTTACATCTGTCAGCCTGGGCACTCTGATTGGACCAGACTAACAGCCCCAATTAGGGAACTCATATTCTATGAGGTCCACTCGGCAAACCTCATTCCACTCACTAGAGCACTGGATGACTATTTGAATAGAAACAATGTGCAGGGTAACAGAAAATGGCACTAAGTCAAAATGATCATTTGGAAAGTTGGGTGCAAACAGTATTGGTCCTGAATGGCTTCCTTCTTCACCATAACAGTTCTGTGAATCAATGAACTTCAGTGTACTCATTGAGAAGACAGCACCCCTCCAGACTTGCATTGGTGGGTCCCTCTGGATGTATGTACAGGTCTCTGGAGAATGACCAGCAAAGCTGTATAACTGGGAGATGTTCACTGAGACACTCTGGAATGATTCAAATCAACAACTTTATTCTCCTGACACTCTGCCTGTGCCTGACTTGATTCATGATATCATCTTTAACATCCCTGATTGGTAACCACTGCACATTTTTTTTCAATTTATAAAGTAATAAGATGCTGAATTCTCCCCAAAAAAAACACAGAAAGTGTCTTTGAGCTAAGGTATCAGGTTACTAAAACTCTGTAGGTCTCAATTATCTCAACAAATTTCTATGTTTAGCACAGGGAAAAAGATGTTGAAGCTTGCATTTACAGAATGTGATAACAGGGGACTGTACCTATTCCCTTTCTCACTGAGGGCCACACAGTGGGGAAGTTTTGTAAGGAATAGAGGTGTCCAAGCCTGCAAAATCAACAGGACTGCAAATCTTTTCATTGGACTGTAGGGCTTACTGCTCTACTATGTTCAATTCCTGATCTATGTTACACTGTGGCAGTGCTGACACTGAGGCAGTGGGCAGAATTGACCTAAAGATCAGGCAGTATTCCTGCTGGAGACTGAGGCCTCCAGCAAATAAATAGTGCGGGGGTGGGGGGTGGGGGGGTGGGGGTGGGGTAACCTGGGTGAAGATGAAGACCCCCTGAATTCAAAGGATCTTCACAGGCCCATTGATGCCCCTTTCCAGGACATTCTGATAGTGGGCAGGGAGCAGCAATCACACAAGTGGGCATTGGATAGTGAAGTGATAACAAATGTCATGCTCAGGCTATTCCTCATTTTACACCACTATTCCAAATTGCTTCAGTACAGGAACCCCAGGGGAGAGGTGGGGGGTAGAATTAGAGAGGGGGCAACATAAAGCTGGAGAAAGGCACGGAGGTGGAGAGGCTTCCAGCTCAGTTCAGGTGGAGACCGTCCCAATGGTACAGATCCCTCCTGTTCCAGTACTGATGCCAGTGCCTCATGAATATCAGAAATTTAAGTCATTATAGTAAGGGATTATGTGTCCAAGGTGTATTGTCCAAATGGAAGATTCTACAGTCAACTTATATTGAACCTGTTTTCAATTCATGATCACCAATTCTGAATGATGTGTTGTGTCTTTAGTGACAGAGTGAAGGACACCATCAAGCACATGAACCATAACGTTATGATCCATCTTCAAATCAATGACATAAATTGAAATAGATATTAAATCTTCAAGAGGGTGCTTCAAGACTTCAGCACCAGATTGAAAGTATAAGATTCTGAGGATTGGCAACCTGGGATTGTTTGACTGGCCACACAGTAGGTGTAGAGGAGGGGGAGAGCGAGAGCAAAGTCAATGTTTACAGCCTGGATGCTGTAGGAGTCAATGTTGACATCTGTGGTGATTTGGATTGACTTCTAAAACAAGGGGAGGTTGTACTGAAGGGAAATGAGTTTCTTGAATAGAGGGTAAGTAGTGGAGAGCAGGGGGGTTTAAACAAATGTATCAAGGCAAGGGGCAAAGTCAAGATTTCAGACCAGCAAAGGGAAGAGGGATTAGTAAACCTGTTGGAATAGAAACAGAGCACATTGAATTTCCAAAATAGAAAGGGCTTCCACTTACTCACTGACACATCACAAAGGATCCTGTATGTTAGTGCCAAATTCTCAGGGCGTTGTCATGATGCTTTTTGTCAAAATGTTCTCTGGCTTTCCTGTTCTATTCAAAGAAACCAGTGAAGATGCAACCCTTACTTCAATGGGCTGATGACCTCAATTATAACATCAATTACAGAGATACTGAGAAAATGGTTTGGTAGTTTGATAAATAATGCGGAGGGAAATTAATGTGTTCTCTCACACCGTTTCCTACCACTGTAGTTGTAAGGAGCTGCAAGAAATTAGAGCTTGTGGGGTGTTTCCAAACATTTCATCGTGCCAGGCTAGGCAAGATGGATTCATTTAAGCAGGGAAGGTGAACAGTAAAAAGGGATATGGAACCAGGAGGAGGCCATTCAGTCCCTTCTGCTATTCAGTTAGATCATTGCTGATCTGTACTTTAACACTATTTACTAGCTTTGGTTCCCAATAGATGGTATTAATAGATAGAATGGATTAATGTCAGTGTTGAAAGTACCAATTGACTGGCACATTGCACATTCTCAGTGAGTGGGGGAGAGTTCCTGAGTGATTTTGCCATCATTGCCCTCCCCCAACATCCTCTCACTCCCATGAGCTCATGCTGCCACTATTGTTCCCACCCACTAACCCACACCGTGGTAATAGATACACAGTCCAGGGGACGACTGCCCACTGGCTACTCCCATCCTGATAATGGAATGATAATGACCATTTGATGTTGTCTTCTTATTCAGTAACTTTATTGCAGTGATTCTCAATTTCTACTGGGTTTATACTCACAGTAAGATTTGCAGCATTTTCTGGTTCTCTCTCTGAAGTAAATCATTTTTTAAAAATCTTTCAGTTTTAACTTTGATACCTGTTGCCTTTGTTTCCTGTTCACTCAATGGAAAAATACAGAATAGCTCATGTTTTATTGTTGTCTGCTAGATAAAAATGCATATACACATCAAAAGATCTCACTTAGAGCACATGTGGTGTTTTAGACAGTCCATTATAGAAAGGACTTTAAATCCATGGAGAATATATGGTGTAGATTTACCAGGATTATGTAGGGCTGGGAAACTGTAGTATTAGGAGAGACTTTAGATACTGGGAATGTTTCTTATAAGGCTGAGGAAGATGTGATGGAGGGTGTAGGGGGCATTTTTCAAACTATCATAGAAAGCAAGAATAGTGGTTAGACAGTTATTTTTACAGTTTTGGAGCATTGAATGATTGGTCACAATGTGTCATGCAGGCAGAAATCATTGCATTTTTAATGAAAAATTGAGCAAATACTCAATTAAGAGAAAGACGTAAAGCTACCAAAAAGGAATGGAATTACTATTGCAAAGGGATAGCACAAACACAATAAGGTGAACAGCCTCCTTCTCTGCTGTAAATTTTAGTGGTTCCATCAATTGGTGTTTTTACCTTTTCTTTCCTAATTAAGCTGTTCAGAGATGTCATTACACATCTCTGAACTTGAACCAGGGCCTCCCAGTCCAAAGGTAGGGACACGACCAATACACCACATGAGTGCCCTCAGCTGATGTTTTTATAATACTTGTAATTATTACCAATTTTATCAGCTGATACTGTTGGGTACATCCCTGTAGCTGTTGTATTTTGTCCTTTTGAAGTTGGCATTGGTACCAAGCATTTATTGTACATTCCCAATTACCTGGAGACAGTGATTAAGCTGTTTTGTTGAACCACTGTTGTCCATGTATTTATAAAACTCTGACAATGCTATTGGATTGGGAGTTACAGGATTTGGACCCAATTATGGTAAAGAAACAGGAAAATATCCCCCATTCAATGTGGAATGATTTGGAGCAAAAACACCCTGGATGGGGTGTAGTTTCTATTACATTACCATTGCTGATTGATTTATTGTTGTCACATGTCCAAGATACAGTGAAAAGTATTGTTTTGCATGCTATACAGGCAGATCATACCACGCAAAGAGCATCAGGGTAGCAGAACAGATTGCAGAACACAGTATTACAGCCGCAGAAAAGGGGCAGAGAGATCAGAATTAACATTTGTGAGGTCTGTTCAAAAGCCTGATAACAGTGGGGAAGAAGCTGTTCTTGAATCTATTCATACCTGTATTCAACATTTTATACATTCTACTGGATGGAAGAGGGTGGAAGAGAGTGTAACTGGGTTGGGAGGGGTCTTTGGTTCTGTTGGCTGCTTTCCCGAGGCAGCAGGAAGTATAGTTGGAGTCAATGGATGGAAGGCTGGTTTGCGTGATGGACTGGGCTGTGTTCACGACTCTACAGTTTCTTGCGGCCTTGCAAAGAGCAGTTGCCAAACCACGCTGTGATACATCTAGATAGGATGCCTTCTATGGTGCATCTGTAAAGATTTGTAAGAGTCCTTGTGGATATGCCATTGAGCAAAGCACGAACAGTGGAGGTCTTTGGGAAGAAAAGGAATTAACCATCGATATATATTGTACATATTTCTGCTATGGTGCCCAGCCATGGAGTCCAACCATGGTGTCTCAGAAGAATGAGGGGAGATCTTATAGAAACATATAAGATTATGAAGGGAATAGAAAAGGTGGAGGCAGGGAGGTTGTTTCCGCTAGCAGGTGAAACTAGGACTAGAGGGCGTCGTCTCAAAATAAAGGGAAGCAGATGTAGGACTAAGGTCAGGAGGAACTTCTTCACCCAAAGGGATGTGAATCTGTGGAATTCCCTGCCCAGTGAAGCGGTTGAAGCTACCTCGCTGAATGTTTTTAAGGCAAGGCTAGATAAATTTTTGAACAGTAAAGGAATTAAGGGTTATGGTGAGTGGGCAGGTAAGTGGAGCTGAGTCTCAAAAAGATCAGCCATGATCTTATTAAATGGTGGGGCAGGCTCGAGGGGCCGGATGGCCTACTCCTGCTCCTAGTTCTTATGTTCTTATGTCTCTGGTGCCCATGGGGTTCAAGATGCCCCTGGTGTCTGTGGATAATTATCTTAACAGAAATGAGGACATTAGACAAAAAGATCTGTCCTGGATGATGTCAGAGCTCTTGAGAGTTTTACAGCTGCTCAATTCCTGCCAAGTGCAGGTTGTTCGATCAAATTCCCAAATGCAGGTCCCTCTCTGATACAGTTATTTACGGGGTTTTATTGGTGAATACCCTACAACTGTTCTAGCAGCGGAGATGCTCCCTCCTGGAATGTGGGCTGGAAAATCATATCCGACTTGAACCGGAATTTCTGATGGTAATGCTCTGTGACAGGAACTTGCTTACTTGTAATTTATTTATGTGCTGCACAAAGTTGAAACTGGAGACAGCTGGACCTTTCGATCCACTAACATGTAAATAACATTTTGTGAATTATAGGTTCCTTTCCCCCCAGGTGTGGTGAATATTGTCCCAGGATATGGACCCACTGCCGGGGCAGCTATCGCCTGCCACAAGGACATTGATAAAATTGCATTCACTGGTTCAACTGAGGTAGGGAACCATTGCTTTAAAATCCTCATGATGAATTGAGATGTACCAAAAAAGATACTTTTTCTGGAAGCATATGCTGTGAATGAAAAGAGGTGCAAGTTCTCACATCTCCGAGTTGCACAAGAAGAGAGGCATATGTGGGGGTAATCTGTGAGGCAAGTGCTTACTGATGGACAGAGAGCGGCACCATCAGATATGACTTAACTATGGGGCATTCTGTTACCAGGGAGACAAGCAACTGGGCCTGGAATTTCCAAACAATTTCATAGTTATTTTCAGTTCAGCCAATATCAGAAAACCAACAGAAATTATCAAGGAATTTCAAATGCTAATTACATCCAACGCAAATCAAGTTTCTGTGATCTTTTGTTCTATTTGAAAAGCATTGCCCTGAGTGCAACTCTCCTCCAAAATTAAATGACCAGACCTTCAGATCGATGAATCAATTTCTGTTGATTGCACTTGTTTGTAGCTCTTCAAGAAGACTTTTAAAATTAAGCTTTTGCTGAGGCTGACAAAGCAGCTTTTAGAAGTCTTTAAATATTAAAACATGTTTAATTTGTTTAGAAACTGCTGTGCATGCACTAATGAAATTAAGTGGTAATGCAGAGTATTTTAAAATTAAATTATTTTCTAAAATGTTATTCAATGGTGCAGAACCATTCCAGGTTCTATATACAGCAATATCCCAATCGGTTTGAGCAGAAACTTGAGGAAAAAATGAACTTTTAGGGTAATTTTGGGTGAAGTTGTACTGGATTGCTGACTGAGCCCAATGTGGGAAATCTTTGTCTCAGATTTTAGGCTGAGATCCAGTCCTTAATAGTTTGTTGTCCTGGTGCCAGGTTTGGCTCTAAAACAAGCAGATTGACATATCACATCAGGCATGAAAACTCTTGCAGAGAAAAAGAAACCAGCCAAAAATCATGGCTCACTCAGGAACCAATGACTTCGGCAACAGTAGCATGGAGGAACTTCAGAGGTCGCTTGAGGAGTTGGCTGACCCTCACGGGAGTAACCTCTGAAATACTAAATATAATGACCACAGCAAAACCCAACGTAGAGGTTCAGGAGAGGACCATTGGCCCTCTCAAGGGCAATTGGCCTTGCCAATGACACCCACAACCAATGAATGAAAATAAAAACTTAAACATGTTCTATCATTTAGTTAGATCCTGGCTGAATAGAACTTTAAATCCAGTTAATTGCTTTTGATCTACATTTCTTGCTACTCTTAGCCCTGAAAACTTAAGGATCACTGCCTTGAAATTTCAGTTGAATACAATCCACGGTCTTTGCTGTGGAAGATTTCCAGATTTTCACCATGGGCTTGTGTGAAAAAGCATTTCCTGATTTCACCATTAGGAGTAGGCCATTTAGCCCCTTGTGGCTGCTTTGCCATCCATTAATATAATGGCTGATTCACTCATGGCCTCAACACCATTTTCTGTCTGTGCTCAATATCAATCAAACGTCTAATTCAGCCTTGGATATAATAAATCAGCCAGCCTCCACTGCTTTCTGGTGTAGAACATTCCAAAGATTAACAACTTCCTTAAAATCCTCCTTATCACCATCTGAAACAGGGGATCCTTTAATCTGAAACTTCATTCAACTTTATTCATTGAGTTCCCTCCTCAAATAAGGAGACCAAAATGGTTCACTGCTCAGTTGTAGCAAAACAGCATTCTGCAGTTTGATAAATTATATTCTAATTTTGTACTTTTTTCCTACTATGGTGGGTAATCTCACATTTCTAAAATTAATTACAAAGTTTAGCCCACTTCCTTAACCTTTCTAAATCCCTTTGCAGACTCTCTGTAACTTCCTCACAACTTGCTTTCCCACCTATGTTAATGTTGTCTGCAAATGTGGCAGCAATATAGTCAGTTCCTTCATCCAAGTCATTGATATAGTCACCAAATAGCCTGGTTCTAATTTTAAGGTTATTCCCCCTTAGTTTGAGATTTCCCCACAGGATGATAGTTTCTCTGTATCTACAATCTGGATTTTCATTTTCAATGCCTTTTTCAGATCTCCACTCAATTTCTTGGACCCAAGAAAATACAAGCAAAGTTCATGCAAAGCTTCCCTCATAATTTAATTTCTTGAACTGCAATACAAACCTGGTGAATCAACATTGTGCTCATTCCCACTGCCCACATATCTTCCCTGAGTGCAGATTACTTTATGCATATCCACATGCTTTTGATGATTTATGTTCATGGGCAACTATAGTTCTCTGACCCTCCAAAGTTTTTAGCCTCTAAGATCACATCATAGTTTCTCTTTCTCACACTCTGATAAATAACTCCATACTTCTCCACATTAAACTCCATCTGCTATAGTTTTTCTAAATTATTTAGTGGGCTGAGTTACACGAGCCACTGGATTGTCTCCATTAAAAATTGGATGGGGGCCAAAACAGCTGGGTAAATGGCAGGCAGCCCACATACTGAATTTAATAAGCATCTTCCAACTCCCATCCTCAAACCTGCTGGTCGGGAAATGTTAAATCCAGCTGAAATTCTAAGTCCCTTTGTAACGGTCCCAATCAGACCATTTATTTGGTCAAGGCACTGGGTATTAGAGGATTTACACAGAGAATAATAATGCAGTATCACATTTTGTGTCATTAATTCTTTGTATTAACTGGGGAAATGATGCATTTGAAAATTGGTATAAATATTACTCATTTTCAAGCCCGATAAATTGATACATTGAGTCTGAACTGAGTTCTCTGAATCATTCTCTAACCCATGTGTGCTGCTCTGTTGATAGGTTGGAAAGTCAATAACTGAAGCTGCCTCTAAAAGTAACCTGAAGAGAGTCACCCTAGAGCTTGGTGGGAAGAATCCTTGCATTGTCTTTGCTGACTCTGACTGTAAGAGTAACTCTTGTTAGCTTTACAACTACATCTTTCTGAATTTCACAGACGTTACAGAGGAAAATGTTCTCTCCCTCAGAATTGTGTACATCCAGATAAATTAAAAATCATTCTTCAGAAGATTATCCTTATGTAAAACTGATGAAGGACTTCAGTTATGTAGATAGGCGGGCAAGCTAGGCTGGATTCCTGTAGAGAAGATTAGGCAAGATTTGACTGAGATGTTCAACGATGGGGCTCAGCATCATAGGTAAAGAAGCTGTTGTCATCAGGAGCAGTAACTCTCCTGACATTAAAAGCCAGGGTGACAGAAAGGAAGACTGTTTTATTCAATGTCATGAATGGTTTAGTTCCAGATGAAAAGGCAAGGTATTGAGGACTAACACAGAATTAGCATGAACGCGACAGGTTGAACGATATCCTTCTGTGCTGCAACCATTTCAGGCTTTTCCCAATGCCACTGAGCAGGCTTCAAAGTGGGAGAAAGTTCTGAGATGGAACTGTTGGATCAACAATTCCTTCCCACATCAGGATAGTGACCATTTGCAGAGGCTATGCACCCAGCAGCAGTGAGTAACCAACAAAATGTTCAGGTTCAGGCTGATTAGGAAATGCTGGTGGCATTTCCCGGTCAAAGATAGCCTCCTGTGCCTTCACCCCCATGGGAAGGCCAGGCACGCTTCCTGATAGTCAGCACACAACCTAGGCTTAGAAATGAGCTGAACTCACTCTGATAATTTAATGGCAGAAGATTCCATTCAGGGTTCTAGTTGGTCTAGGATAGTATTTTACTGCACTGTTATTGCTATAGTGTTTCTGCCTGTTGCTAGCCGCTCTTGTTCAATCTTTTTAACATGCTGGCAATTTGTTTTCTCCTTTTTCTTTCAAATTATATGATTTTACACAGTTTGGGATGTTTTGTATTTAAAAGCCATTTAAGATTGCAATGAGAACTATGGTGTTTCTGACTATACCAGTGTAATAAAACAATCCTCTCAATCCCAATCTCCTGCTCTCTCTCCATACTTTTAAATAACATTCTTTTAGAATTTGCTGTCAGTTCTACTTCCAGTGGTTCTGGCCATGCATTTCATGCCTCGACCCTCTAATTTTTCTTGCCACTTCTCCATTTTATTTGATGATAATCTGAAATCATCGACTCAGTAACAGGTACCTGCCCTTCATCAGCAAATCACTTCACAACTTTGAATCCCCTTATTAGAACCTCTTGTTACAATCTCTGTTCCACTATGAAGAAGCCCAGTTTCCTGGGTCTCTCCTCATCCCTAAAACCTGTCAGCCTGAGATTATCTCAGCGACTCTATCACTCTCCATCACCAAATCCTTCCTAAAGTAAGACACCTGAAGCTGAACAATGGCTGAGCCTGAATCTGCTTTCTGGCCAAGAGCTGACTTGTTCAATCAGGTTGGGCCTATACCGATTGCTGTTAAGAAGAATGAGAAGTGAACTATTGAAACACACAAAATCCTGAGGGGATTGTACAGGGTGGATGCTGGGTAGATGTTTCCTTGTCAGAGGGAGATTAAAACTAGGAAACATTTTAAAAGTAAGTGGAGATAAGCAGAATGTTTTTCCCTGAGGGTTGTTAATCCAAACAGTTTTCTTCCCCAGAAATCAGTGAAGGCTGGATCATTGAATTTATTCATGACTAAGCTAGACAGGTGTTTGATAGACAAGGGAATTGAAGTATTTGAACAGGGGGTTGCAGACAGGAAAGTGATTTGACACCACAAGAAGATAAGCCTTGATATTGCTGAATGGCCTAGCACGCTCAAGGGGCTGAAATGCCAGTCCTGGTCCTTAATCTATGTCCCTATGAATACTGGAATAGAGAGCCTAAGGTTGTTTCAGAACTGAGACGATCACACTCATGAGTGGGAGATTGCAAAGAGGGGCCCTAACCCGTGCGTGATTGAATCAAAAGGCCGAAGCTCATAGCTGGGCATAATGGGAATGGCCTGAAGAATAACTGATATTTATCAGTGTGTTTAGTCTCTGAGACTGGAAATTTTCTCAGAGTTGCTGTTACTGTGCCTTTGAAACTGTGTTGGAGTTACAAGGAAACAGCGTTTCCGTCGCACTTTCAACAACACAAGAGCAGAAGCCTGAGGAAGTTGCTGGTCCTGGTGTTTTCAAGTCAAACCCCCACAGGGAATATTGCTGTTATTGTTAAGCATACTGTTTCTCCTTTACCCAGTGTCCCAGGCAGTTGACTATGCCTCACAGGGAGCTTTCTTTAACCAAGGCCAGTGCTGCACTGCTGCTGCTCGGGTTTTTGTCGAGGAACCAATTTACGACGAGTTCATTCGCCGCAGTGTGGAGCGGGTGAAGAAGCGAGTGGTGGGTAATCCTTTTGATCCGCAAACTGAACAAGGACCTCAGGTAAGAGAAAATCACCCACATTTGAAAAGACACTTTAGGACACAATGATTAGGTCATCAACACAAACCTTAATGGGAAATCTGATGGATTTACATTTTGGGTGCGGGTTAATTCTATGAAGTTTTTTTTTGCGTCTGCCCTTGTTGTTTTATTTATGTTACGCTAAAATGTAGGATCTGGCTCAATTGGCAGCACAGTTGCCCCTGAGGGGGAGATTGTGAGTTTAAGTCCCTATTGAGAAAATCGAGCATCAAAAATCTAAGCTGACAAGCTGAACGAGTGTTGTACTGTCAGCAATGCCATGTTTTAGATGAGACCGTGACCTTGGCTGCTGTCTCAGGTAAATGCCAAAGGTGCCATGGTAGAACAGGGAGCTGTCTCTATCATCTGACCAATATTCATCTTTCAATAATGTCATGAAAATGCAATCATATTGTTGTTTCTATGAGTTTCCAGTGCATAAATTGGCTGCTGGTTTTCATATATTGTAAAAGTCGCTGTACTTCAGGAGTACTTCATTGGCTGCTAAGCACTGTGAGACATTCTCAGATTGCTTCCTCCTTATTTTCAAGGTCAGAAGTCACACGACACCAGGTTATAGCCAGGTTCACTCACACCATCTGACACTTTTGGTCACCTGCAGAGACTTATTCAGCTTGTCAACATTCCAGTCACACTATTTGTATGATCTTTTGATCTCTCTGCCTATTGATCTCTCTGCCTGTAAATTCCGTGCTTTTCCTTACGTCACTGACGAAGGAGCAGTGGTCCAAAAGCTTGTGATTTCGAATAAACCTGTTGGGCTATAACCTGGTGTCATGTGACTTCTAACCTTTTCTACCCCAGTCCAAAACCAGCACATCCACATCTTTATTGAAGCTGAAGATCCTGAGTCAATTTTCTATTTTTGAATAATTTTCCAACATGTTTCTTTTTTTTTAAGTGGATTTCAACAGTTCAAATCCTCGTAATCCTGCTGGGAGCAGAGGAAGGGGCAAATGTGATTAGGTGTTGGGCACGGCTAGATCAGTCATAGTGGTATTGTGTTACAATTCACTCAGGGAGTCCAAGTTACTGTGGCAACCTACACTTTTACATGCATGTTGTTGTTGGCAATCTTGGAATGGTGATGGTACAAGCTCCAATTGACTTTCCATCACTTGGCTGACCAGGAATCTCTGATGGTCTTTCTGCCTGCTATTGGTTTATGCTGAAAAGTTTTACCATTTGATACACAATCTGTTGGCTGCATTAAAAATGCACCTGTGGCCTGGATTGGGATTTGAACCCAAAACATTTGGTTCAGAGATAGGGACATTCCCCATTGCACCACAAGACCTCGTCTTTCTAAACAAAAACTAAGTTGCTGGAAAAGCGCAGCAGGTCTGGCAGCAACTGTGAACGAAAAAACAGAGTTAATGTTTCGGGTCCGGTGACCCTTCCTCAGAACTGCTCTTCCATTCTTCTTTCTAAACTCCAGTTAAGAGGTGGATTATTCCCAGAAGGAGAATAAATTATCCCATGGTGGGTAAATCAATCTCAAGGTGAGGGGGGACAGTGTCTACTGTACCCACAATAGGAGGTTGTGGGATGTGATAAGTAGTACATTTATTGAGATTTTAAATAGGTTTGGGTCAAACACTGGCCAAGCTGTAACTGCTGTGGTCTAACTCCCTGTCCCAGGCTCTAGGGCATCCTGCTTTCTGAATAGAGAGGGGTATGTTGCCCTCGGAAATTAAAAGATTAAACATATGTGAATGATGAAACTCAAATACCATCATAAGTGCAATAGCCTTCAAGCATGGGTAATTAATCACTAGATGTGAAAATTCACTCATTCCACAATTATCTGACTTTTTATCTGACTCTTCTGCCAAATCAAGATCTTTACATCATCTCAAACTTGTTTGGATTCATTATGAAATCACGAGATCATGCTGACATCTTTTACATATTATTAAGTTAGGATTACAGTGTGTGTCACTGCTAACACAACACAATAGATCTATTTGTCTGGCATTGTGTTGCTGATGGAATGTTACTGTGTGGGATGTTTTCTTTGGATCAGCCTGTCATTCATCAAAATTTCTGATATGAACTTCACGCAAAGGAAATAAATCCTAAAAATTAGTAAATGCATTCTTACCATAGGTGTGGAGTTAAATAATGACAAAAGTCACACATAACATTAGTGGGAGGGGCCTGTGAAATAAATGGGACCAGCACGTATTAAAAAATATTCAATCCTTTTTCAGTCAATTGGTGGTAGTTCACTGACACTTGTTGAACTCTACTCCAAGTTTATAGGTTTGGATTAAATTGAGCCACCCTCAACTTTAATCCTCAGTGTATCAGAAACATTGGGTCTATAGTCCTGTTCATACTTTACACAAGCATCTCCTCAGTCCAAAGACCTTTTAGCACCCTACTTCCATAACACCCTATTCCTTCCTCAGTCTACGAGTATCAACTTAAATCGATCTCAATGTTTATTGCCTTACCTACACTCTGTCAATGAAGTATACAATTGAGGCAATGGCTTAGTGGTATCATCATTGGATGCAGCTAATGATCTGGGGACCTGGGTTCAAATCCTGCCATGGTAATTGGTGGAATTGGAATTCAATAAAATGTCTGGAATTAAGAATCTACTGATGATAAAGAAACCATTGTTGACTTTTGTTTAAAAACCCATCTGGTTTACTAATGCCTTTTGGGGCACTCCCCCCACCATGGGATAATTTATTCTCCTTCTGGGAACAATCCGTCTCTGACCTGGAATTAAAAAAGAAGTCTTGTGTTCAGTGGAGAGTCTCCACACCTCTGGGCCTGGTCTCACCTACGTGACTCCATATCCATAGCAATGTGGTTGACTCTTAAGTGCCCTCTGAAATGGCATAGCAAGCCACTCAGTTGTATCAATTGCTACAAAATCTCAAGAAAGAAATGAAACTGGACAGGTCACCTGGCATTGACCCAGGCACCAGAAAAGACAGTGGCAGAAACAATCCTGTTAACCCTACAAGTCCTCCTTATGTCTGGGAGCTAGTGCCAAAATTGGGAGACTTAACTCACAGGCTAGTCAAGCAATGGCCTGACATAGTCATACTCATGGAATCATATCTTACAATATCCCAGACACCACCAACATCAGCCCTGGATATGTCCTGTCCCACCAGCAGGACAGACCCAGGAGAGGTGGCGGAACTATGTCAAGAGGGAGTTGCCCTGGGAGTCCTCAACATGACTCTGGACACCATGAAGTCTTGTGGCATCAGGTTAAACATGGACAAGGAGGCATCCTGCTAATTACCACAGACTGTCCTCCCTCAGCTGATGAATTAGTGCTCCTCCGGGGTGTAAAATTTACTCTGGATGGGGGATTTCAATGTCCACCACCAAAAGTGGCTCACCAGCAGCACTACAAATCGAGCTGTTCAGATGCTGAAGGATATAACAGCTGGAGTGGGTTGGTGGCTGGTGGTGAGGGAACAAACAAAAGGGAGAAACATACTCGACCTCATCCTTGCCAATCTGCCAGCTGCAGATTTGTCTGTCCATGACAGTATCATTAATAGTGACCACTGCACAGTCCTTGTGGAAATGAAGTCCATCCTTCACTTTGAGAAAACCCTACAAATTATCATTCAATGCCTTCTTCAATGCCTCAATTGAAACTGCCTCCAACACACTTCAAGGCAGTACATTCCATTCTCTAACTGTTCACTGTGTGAAAAAGATTTGTCTCATATCAGATGTGTGCCTTTTGCAAATCATTTTAAATCTATTTACTCTTGTTTTTTTCCACTTTTACAAGCAGGAACAGTTTCACCCTATCTACTCTATCTAGCACAGACATTATTTTGAAAACCTCTAAAGAATCTCTACTTAGTCTTCTTTGGTCCAAGGAGAACAGTCCCAACTTCTTCAATCTATCCTCATAACTGAAACTTCTCATTAATGGAACCATTCTTGTAAATCACTTCTGCACTGTCTCCAATACATTCATATTTTTCCTATAATGTGGTATCCACAACTATATACGGTACTCCAGCTGAGATCTAACAAGTGTCTTGTACAAGTTCAACATCACCTTCTTGCGCTTGTACCTTATGCCCCTTTTAATAAAGCTGAGAATATCATATTGCTTTACTTACAGTTCTCTCCACCCATCCTGCCAGTTTCAATGATCTGTGCAAATATACACCCAAGTCCCTCTGCTCTTGTATCCACTTTAGATTTATACCCCCTATTTTATGTTGACTTTCAATGCTCTTCCAAGCAAAGTGCATCACCTCACACTTCCCTGCACTGAGACTCCTCTGCCATTTATCTGCCCACTCCACCAACTTATATATTGTTTTGGAGGACTACAGTGTCCTCCTTACAGTTTACAATTCTTCCAAGTTTCACGTCATCTTCAAACTTTGGAATCGTCCCTTGCATACCAAAATCCAGATCATTGATATATGTCAGTAAAAGTATTAATACGGCCTTGGCAAACACCAGGAAATAGAAACACAAAGTAAAGCAGAGACTGACAAGACACCAAGAAGACTTCAGCAGACATTAACCAAGCTTTAAGATTCTGATAGATACTAAGAAACTGATCCAGAACAGTTCAACAACTGTCCCCACCCTTTCTTGAGCCCTGCAAATATTTTTCTCAATTTCCTTTTGAAAACCCAGGGTAAATCTACCTCCACCACCCTCTCAGGCAGTGCATTCCATAACTGTTTCCACATGTCACCTTTGTTTTTGTTTGGCCAATCACCTTAAAACTGTGTTGTCTGGTTCTTACAGTGTGGAGCTGGGGGAACACAGCAGGTCAGGCAGAATCAGAGGAGCAGGAAAGTTGACACTTCATGGTTTCTGATGAAGGGAGTAAACCCAAAACGTCGACTCTCCTGGTCCTCTGTTGCCACCTGACTTGCTGTGTTCCTCCAGCTCCACACTGTATTGACTCTGACTCCAGCATCTGCACTTCATGCTGTCTCCTCTGGTTCTTGATCATTTTGTCAATGAGAACAGTTTCTTTCTCTTGACTCTGTCCTAGCCCATCGTGACATTGAACATTTCAGTCATGACCTTCTCCAAATCAATTTCTCACCACAGATGCTGCACAACCTGCTGAGTATTTCTAGTATTCTCTGTTTGTTTCAGATTTCCAGCATCTGCAAAGTTTAGCTTTTGTGACAGACTTTAAAACATGGCTTGTGCACATGTGGAATGGGGAGTGAGACAGGAAATTGGGAGACTGAATATTATAAAATCATTTATAAATAAAATCATTTATTGTCATGTGTATTCAATAGAAAATACAATGAAAAGTGTGTACCGTTGACGTGCATAGGCGCCATTTACATTAATTAAAATAAATAATAAAGAAAGATAACTTAAAGAGAGTCCAACTCTTCCTTCGCCATTGCTACTGTCCTGCTCCAGGTTTCACTGGCCCATGCCATGGTGCTGCCTTAGTCCTGCTCTGGGCGACACCAGCCCACGCCATGTCGCCGCCAGGGGCCTACTTCACATCGAAGTGAGAGTCCCGATCCAGGCTTCACAGGCCAGCCAAGTCTGTAGCCATGCTGTCTCTGAAGACGCCATTGCCGCTCCGGACCCCAGCAAGCAATAGAAGGCGCTGGAACACCACTGTAATCTCACCAAGATTTATTCAGATCATCAATATAAACATGAACTGGAGCAATGTTATTACCATTTAAGAACATAACTGAAAGGGAAATAAAATAAGCATCAGATTAGAATACTTAGCTTTTTGACAGAGGAGAAGGAACTCACTGTGCTGAGGGGAATGGGGAAATTGATATAAAAGATATACAGTATTGAAATCCATGAGATTTCACTTGAGCTCTGAGGTATCAGCACGAGGGAGACAGAAAGCCTACTCCATCCTGTCTGTCTCCTTCATTCCACTGGAAATACAAATGAATGTGTATCTCCAAGTTCATACAACCTCTCAATGTCATAATGACCCATACAATGCCTGTACAGAATGGCCAATGGATGGTTCAGTAACATTATTGCAGATGTTTGCTGATTGTTAACTCAGTTCAATATTATAACCATAAAACAGACTGAGTAAATATAGCAGCTTTTGCAACTTCAGAGGGCAAAACATTGAATTCCCATTTAACATGAAGTGAGAGTAAATTAAAACCCTTCATGTGAAATTCTGAGATTCTTAATAAACAAAATCTTAAAACAAGTTTGCAGTATTCTACCGCAGTTAGCAATGAAGAAGTTAATTGGCAATTAACTCCTTAAACAAGTCAGTGCATACTAACTTCGCAATAAAACCGTGGGCACTCAACACAGACTGATGGCCAGGGAAAGTAGCTGTTAATATTTGACCACACCCTAAAAGCTCCTGCTTGTGAAAGGTTTTATACTATCCACGAAACTCAATAGGGGGCTGGGAGTGAAGTCATGTCTCGAGATGAAGCTGCCTAGGGCAAGAGAATGAAATCAACAATAAGATACAGTTTTATGCTCATATTCTGATATCTTGATGAGAACATTGTAATTACCTAAAACATTGTTGTGATACAAGAGGTCTATGTGTTATATGTTTGATTGCTGAATAAGATGGAGCTCCCTTTGACACATTTCCAATGAATCATATCCAAACCTAAGTGGGACCATAGAAGGAGACAGACCTACTGAAAAGTTAAGGGAGCCACAGAAGATCAGATTTTCAACCACTTAAACCTCTCAGTAGGCTCTCTGAAGCTTCAGATCAAGTATTGAAGGGATGACACCTGTCGTGGCTAGGGGCTGTTCCATCATGTTGGACTGTCAGTGTATGAATAGGAGATACATCCCCCTACTTGGAATGCCCTCCCTTTCTGACAGCTATAATTAAGTGGAACACTCCAGATAAGCTGTGGTTAAAGCGCAGTTGCCAGCACACAATAAGATGAGACCTGTCTGTGCAAGTCTGCTGTCAACTTACAACTCTCACCACTGTTCTCATTTTCCCAACATAGATTGACCAAGTTCACTTTGACAAAATCATGGAACTAATAGAGAGTGGGAAGAAAGAAGGAGCCAAGCTGGACGCTGGTGGCTGTGCCATTGGAGATGTAGGTCATTACATTCAACCGACAGTGTTCTCAGAAGTGACAGACAACATGCGTATTGCAAAGGAGGAGGTACCGTCACTTCAATCAAAGTAGTAATTGACAATATCAACTTGACAACTAAATAGATGTCACCTAAATCTTTCATATTTCATAGATTTTTGGACCAGTGCAAGTGATAATGAAGTTTAAAAACACTGAGGAGGTCGTTAGAAGAGCCAACAGCAGTGAATTTGGACTGACAGCAGGCGTGTTCACCAGGAACATCAACAAAGCATTGACTGTAGCCTCTGCCCTTCAGTCTGGAACAGTATGGTAAAAAAACACACACACGTTCTTTTATCTGAAATACCAATTTTCAACATCATGTTTCAGTTTGATGCAGCAGAGGTAGTGGCATCCTGGTAAAGTCACTAAATGAGCAATCTGGAGGTCCACACTGATGTTCTGGGAGCATGAGTTCAAATCCCATCATGGCAGCTGGAGGAATTTAAATTTACTTAATGAAATCTGGTATTTAAATAAAAAGTCAATTTCAGTGGTTGTGACTTTAAACCAACTGCTGATTATTGTAAAAGCCCATCTGGCTTTAGGAAAGGTATCCTTAGGGAAGCCATCCTTAGCTGGTGTGGCCTGCATGTGACTCCAGACACACAGGATGTGGTTTGTTCTTAACTGCCTTCTGGGATGACCCAGCAAGCCACTCAGTGAGGCAATTAGGGATGGGCAATAAATGTTGGCCTAGGAGTTTTTTGAAGAAGTAACAAAGAGGATTGATGAAGGCAGAGTGGTGGATGTGAACTATATGGACTTCAGGATGGCGTTTGACAAGGTTATGCATGGTAGAATAGTTAGCAAGGTTAGATCACATGGCATACAGGAAGAGCCAACCATTTGGATACAGAACTGGCTCGAAGGTAGGAGACAGAGGGTGGTGGTGGAGAGTCACTTTTAAGACTGGGGGCCGGTGACCAGCGGTGTGCCACGAGGATCAGTGCTGGGTCCACTGCTTTTTGTCATTTATGAAATGATTTGGATGTGAACATAGGAGGTATGGTTATTAAGTTTGCAGGTAACACCAAAATTGGTGGTGTAGTGGACAGCCTAGAAGGTTACCTCAGAGTACAATGAGACCTTGATTAGCTGGGCTGGTGGGCTGAGGAGTGGCAGATGGAGTTTAATTTAGACAAATGTGAGGTGCTACATTATGGACAGGCAAATCAGGGCAGGACTTATATACTTAATGATGAGGTCCTGGGGAGTGTTGCTGATCAAAGAGACCTTAGAGTGCAGGTTCATACTTCCTTGGAAGTGGAGTCGCAGGTAGATAGGATAGAGAAAATGCTTGCCTTTATTGATCAATACATTGAGTATAGGAATTGGGAGGTCACATTACGGCTGTACAGAACATTGATTAGGCCACCTTTGGAATACTGCATTCAATTCCAGTCTCCCTGCTATAGGAAGGATATTGTGAAACTTGAAAGGGTTCAGAAAAGATTTACAAGGATGTTGCCAGGGTAGGAGGGCTTGAGCTATACAGAGAAGCTGAATAGGCAGGGGCTATTTTCCCTTGAGTGTCAAAGGCTGAGGGGGACGTTATAAAGGTTTATAAAGTCATGGATAGGGTGAATAGCCAAGGTCTTTTCCCAAGGTAGCAGAGTCCAAAACTAGAGGGCATAGGTTTAAGGTGAGAGGGGAAAGAGTTAAAAGGCAACTTTTTCACACAGAGGTTGGGATGTGTATGGAATGAGCTGCCAGAGGAAGTGGCGGAGGCAGGTACAATTACAACATTTAAAAGGTATCTGGATGGGTATCTGAATAGGAAACATTTAGAGGGATATGGCCCAAATGCTGACAAATGGGACTGGATTAATTTAGGATATCAGGTTAGCATGGACAAGTTGGACTAAAGGGTCTGTTTCCATGCTGTATAGCCCTATGACTCTGGCCAGCGATGCCCACATCCTGTGATAAATAAAAGAAGGATATTGTGATCAATTCAGCTGAATAAAGGTCAGAGTAACTGTGGGTGAGGCAGCTGCTTTGTTCTTTGACATGATTTGATTTATTGTAGTCACATGTACCCAAGTACAGTGAAATATTAAGTGTAAATAGAGTCCTGGATGGGATGTTGGCTAATGTGATGGCCTGGGCTGTGCACACAACTTTCTGTAGTTTCTTACAGTCCTGGGCGGAGCAGTTGCCTTACCAGGCCATTTTTAAATCCAGTTAGGATGCTGTATGTGGTGCCTCTGTAGAAGTTGGTGAGGCCCTTATGGACATGCCGAATTTCCTAAGCTGCCTGAAGAAGAAGAGGCATTGTTCTGCCTTCTTGACCAACACATCTACATGGGAAGACCAGGACAGGTTGTCAGTTATCATCACTCTGAGGAACCTGACGCTCTCAACACTCTCAACCTCCACTCCATTGATGTAGATAAAGGTGTGTCCTCCTCCTTTCTTTCTGAAGTCAATGATTGGTTCTTTAGTTTTGCCAACATTTTGGGAGTGATTGTTATCATTACAACACAACACCAAGCATTCTATCTCCTTCCTGTATTCTGACTCATCATAGTTTTATATCTGGTCTACCAGTCTACTGTCGTCAGCAAACGTGTAGATGGCATTCACATGGAATGCTTGCTACAAAGGGCTGCATCTCCCCTGGACATGACAGTAGTTACTGGATCCTCTGGCATCTTGGGCTGGGCAGGAGCTGACGTTGGACCACCAGTGACTATCATCAAAAGGTCATTCAGGAAAACTCCTGGTTCAGTGGGTGTTGAGAGTGAGGTTCCTGGATTCTCAGGGCCATGTTCCTTAGTTTGACGTCAAAATTGATACCAGAACAGTGAGAACAAAAGGCAGTGTAACAGAGATGTTCAAAATCGAAGGATTTCCTGGAGTAGTGCAACTGTTTCCATTGACAGGAAGATCGGTAACCAGAGGCTAGAAATGAGATGAGGAGAAATGATTACACAGTGAGTTGCTGTAACTAAAAATGCACAATTTTAGAGGGCGGTGAAGCAGATATAAATCATAAGATCTAAAAGGAAATGGAGGCATTACTTGAAAAGAGAGAAATTTCAAAGGTTATTGGGAAGAGCAGACAGAGTGAAACTAACTGAATATATCTTTCAAAGAGTTGGTACAGCCAGGTACAATGGTCCAAATAGCCTCTTTCTATTTATATAAGACTCAATGAGTTATTCTGAGGTGGGGCTTTCACTCACTCCTGTCATATAAAGTTATGGATCTGAAAGGGATAGCATTCGTGTCATATTAGCTCCACCTATTCTACTAGTGTAGCACACATTCTGCTGATTGGCTTGTGCCTGTGATCAGGTGTACATGCCGGAAGTCATCAATGTAACAACAGCCTTCCGATTGGCTACTGGATAGGTGAACATCTTGGATGTTGAAATAGAGGGGAAGATGCCTCTGGGTTCCCTGTCTCTATCTCTCACAGTAAAAGTACCTGATGCCTGAAGAAAGCTAGTTTCTTCTTCCCCACCAGTTGCTGTAAGCTGTTGTCTTTGACCAGTAACTCAGAGACTTTGCAATTAGCGAAAATGCTGGAAACCATTATTAAGGAGATTATACAGAGCACTTGGAAAGTCATGATACAAATAGGCGGAGTCCACACGGTTTTATGAAACCATGTTTGACGTATTCAGTCGTGGTGGCTTGATTGATTGGCACTACATCTACAAGCATCCACACTCTCTACCACAGACACTCAGTAGCAGCAGTGTGTATTATCTACATGATGCACTGCAGAAGTTCACCTAAGATTCTCAGACAGCACCTTCCAAACCCACTAGCACTTCCATGTAGAAGGACAGGGGCAGCAGATGTATAGGAACATCACCAAGTTCCCCTTCAAGCCTCTCACTGTCCTGAGTTGGAAATATATTGCTATTCCTTTACTGTCGCTGGGTCAAAATCCTGGAATTTCTTCCCTAACGGCATTGTGGGTCAACCCGAAGCAGGTGGACTTCAGTGGTTCAAGAAGGCAGCTCACCACCACCTTCTCATGGGCAACTAGGGATGGGCAATAAATGCTGGCCATACAGCAATACCCACATCCCACACAATGAATAAAAGATAGTTTCTTGAGAATGTAACATTTAGAAAGGAAAAAATGGAACCAAATGATTGGTATATTGTATTTAGATTTCAAAAGGCATTCAATAAAGTGCCACTTAAAAGATTACTGTACATTCATTTCCAATTAATATAATTTCGTACTGGTTTTTTCCTCAAAGCAAGTTAAGAGAATATGATATTGGCGGTGATATATTAGCATGGAGAGAGGATTGGTTTTTACTTATCCACTCATGGGATTTGGGCATTACCGGCTAGGCCAGCATTTATTGCCCATCGCTTATTGCCCAGAGGGCAGTTAAATGTCAACCCCATCACTGTGGGTCTGGAGTCACATCCAGGTCAGACCAGGTGAGGATGGCAGATTTCCTTCCCTGAGGGACATTAGTGAGCCAAATAGGTTTTTCCAACAATCAACAATGGTTTCATGGTTTCATCATTAGACTCTTAATTCCAGATTTTTATTGAACTCAAATTCTACCATCTGCCATGGCAGGATTCAAACCTAGGTCCCCAGAACATTAGCTAGGTCTCTGGATTAACAGCCCAGCAATAATACCACTAAGTCAGTGCCTCCCCAGGAACTAATTCATAGGAAACTGAGAGGCAGGAAAAATGATAACTTTTGGGTTGGCAGCTGTAACTAGTGGAGCACAGCAGGGATTGATGCTGATGATACAAAGATCAGGGGGAAAGCAAGTTTTGTGCTGGATGCAAAGTGTCTGTAAAGAGATATGGATAGGTTAAGCAAATCAGGAAAAAAGTGGCAAATGGACCATAATGTAGGAAATTGTGAGGTTGTTCATTTTTGTCAGGATGAACAGGAATAAAATGTTACATGAAAGAAATGAGACTGCAGAATGCTGCAATACAGAGAGATCTGCATCAATATCTTTGTACATGAATTTCAAAAAAGCATGTCACTGTTTCAAACAAGTAGGAATGCAAATGGAATGTTGGTCTTTATTGCAAGGGGTGGGCTGATGGAGTATAAAAACAGGGGAGTCTAGCTACAACATTACAGGGCACTCATGAGACTGCATGAGTGCTGTGTACAATTTTCATCTCTTTACGTATAGAGGAATGGACTTGTATTGGTGGCAATTTAGAGAAGCTGATTCCTGGGATGAAGGTGTTAACTTATGAGGAAAGTTTGAGCAGGTTGAGTCTATACTTTTTGGAGTTTAGAAGGGTGGGAGGTGAATTTGTTGAAACATAAAATATTCTGAATACATTTGATAGCTATATATTAAATATTCCCCGTCATATAGAAATCTGGAACTAAGGGGCACAATTTAAAAAGAGGTCTCCCATTTAAGACAGAGGTGAGATGGAATTTCTTTTCTCAGAGTATCCTAAGTTAACAGAATTATCTTTCCACAGGGAATGGTGGAGGCGAGCTCAGCGAGTATATTTGAATTAGATTTTTAATCAACAAGGGAGTCGAGGGTTGTGTGGGTCTTAACCTGCTACCTTCCAGCAGAGGACTCGATCCAGTACAAAAGCACACGAACTGAAGCTGCTGTTGCGGCTCCTGGTTAAATACTGCACTACACAGTACTGGCCAGGGGATGGCGAACTGTCCTCTCCTGTCGATTGAGTACACCAGCAGGCGACACAAAGTTTAATGTAATTTCTGTTTTGTTTTGCAGGATTAACTGCTACAATGCTCTTCATGCTCAGGCACCTTTTGGAGGTTTCAAAATGTCTGGAAATGGAAGAGAACTGTAAGAATTTCATATTCATATGAATGTTGGTAATGTCGTCTGGGGAGATTTGGGATTAACTGGTTCCTCTCCGAGTGTGTTGAATTATTTTCTTGCTATTTTGTTACTTAGCTGATATGATACCTTCTCCAATTATTCCTCTTCTTCATTTGTTGTTTACTGGATCCATCTGTTTGAACTGAATCAAAATGAAGATATGATACTGCGGTTTGTAATTGTTCAGGATTGTGAGCCCTAAAATAGTAGGAATATAAATCTGACAGACGAACCTCAGGACATTGGGGTTTTATTGCAGCTGAAGCTCAGGATGTAACCTTACCCACTTGTAAAATGGTTGCAAGTTGGGGTCTTTTCCAAGTACCACCTCATGCCTTACCATCCACTTCCAGAAAGTAGTCTCCTAACTGGCTTCCTCTCCACCAAATTAAAGACGGCAGGTGGCTTCCTAATCAGAAGGAAAACAACTGAAACAGTCCTCTTTGACCCCCAGCATTCTGCCAGCCATTGTCATGCACCTACCTGACTTCAGCCTCAACAGTTCTGAGGAAGGGACGCCGGACCCGAAACGTTAACTCTGATTTTTTCTTCACAGATGCTGCCAGACCTGCTGAGCTTTTCCAGCAACTTTGTTTTTGTTCCTGATTTACAGCATCCGCAGTTCTTTCGGGTTTTTTTTTCAACAGTGATCTTGTTTGCTGCTGGTGACACACTCTATCTTAAACATTTCAAATTAGTCATCCATGATTGCAGTGATCTCCCTTCCACCTTCCCAGCAAAATCACCCCAAGGCATGAACATATCAGACAATGGGCTCAACAGCTTTATCTCCAAATTTCCTGATTCCATTTTGAAACCACCTGCCTGAATCAGGGAGATTCCACACTGAGTGCTTGGAATGTGATCAATTCAGATACCTGCAATTTGTGGTGGGGATGTGACTGGAACAGCTCAGAGATTCCAACTCCAACTTATCATTTCCTGTTACCTACTTTTGCTCTTAGTAAGTTGTGGCAAATTGACCAAATATTTCATTAATTATTATTGGTATCTTTAGGTTTCATTACTATTCCTTCTTTGCCTAGCTTCCTTGTTTATCTTAACCCAGTACACTCTGTTCTAGGTCATCAGAGACAACAATGGGGCAGTCAAAAAGCTGAGGGGACAACTGAACTTGGAAGCTGGTGGTACAGTAAATGGCAGAGTTTAGAGGAAGGGTATAGGGATTAAGGGATATGGACATGTGGCCATTCCACTGGACTTGGGAAAGTTGGGAAGTAATATGTTGGGGCCGGAAGGGCAGCCATTGCACAGGATGCACAAACTCTGATTTAAAGGGTAGGTTTGCAATTCACTGATTGTCTGCTGTCAAAGTCACAAATAGCATTCTGTGAGCCTATGACAAAGGTTAATATTCCCTACTTGTCGTTCTGATTTTGTCTGCAGCCTTTGTCACAGTCAGAACACCATCCTCTTTCATCAACCCTCTGCTGTTATCCAGCTGAGTAGCACTGCACCCACCTGGTTTCATTCTTATCTATCCATTCTGTCACGGTTTAACAGGGAAGAGTGTGCCAATAATCAGGTCCCACTGTTCTATAAGCATCTCAAAATGTACTATTCCCAATTAGATTACCAACAATGATCAATTTAACTGACTGATTGCTATATACCAGATTTTGTTATTAACAGAAAGTAAGTTGTTACAATAAATGAAATTAACTTTTAAAATTGGCAGAGAAAAGGAAGGATTTCTAATATATAATTATATAACTTAAACTCTGCTACTTCAAAAATAGAAGTATACACACACTCATTCATAATTTTAAAAAATCTGTTTGTGGTATGTGGCCAATGCTGGCTGGTCCAGCATTTATGCCCACCTTACCTTCCCTTGAGAAGGTGGTGGTGAGTTATCTTCTTGAACCACAATAGTGCATTTGGTGCAGATATATCCACAATGCCAGTAGGTAGGGAGTTCCAGCATTCTGATCTGGCAACACTGAAGGAACGTTGATAAATTACCAAGCCAGGAATGATAAGTGACTTGATGAACACTTGCATATGGTAAGTTCCTGTATCTGCTGCCCTTGTTCTTCGAAGTGGAGGTGGTTGCATTTTGAAAGCTGCTGTCTAAAAAGACTTGGTGATTTTCTGCAGCACATCTTGTAAATGGTATGAACTGCTGCAACTGAATATTGGTAGTGAAGGGAGTGAATGTCGATGCCACTGAATGTCAAGGGGCAATGGTTAGATTCTCTCTTATTGGGGATGGTCATTGCCTGGCACTTGTATGGTGCTAAAACTGCTTGCCACTTGTCAGATCAAACCTAGGTGTTTTTCAGGTATTGCTGCATTTGAAAATGGACACTTCAATATCTGAGGAGTCATGAATGTTGCTAACATTGTACAATCATCAGTGAAGATCCCCATGTCTGACCTTATGACGGATCAACGTCACTAATGAAGTAGCTGATAAAGGTTCTGCCTTGGACAGCACCCTGAAGATCTCCTGCAGAGATGTCCTGCAACTGAGATAAATGACCTCCAACAACGACAATCATCTTTAAAGAGAGGGGAGTAACAGGTTCTAGAGCAGAAGTCTTCAGTACTGTTGCAGGAATGTCATGGCCCATAGCCTTTGCAGTATCTAGTGCCTCCTCAATATCATATGGTGTGAATCTAACTGGCTGAAGATTGGCCTTTGTGATGCTGGGAATCTCTAGGGGAAGTCAAGATGGTTCATTCGTTCAACACTTCTTGCTAAAGATTGCTGCTAATGTTTCAGACTTATCTTGTGCACAAATATACTAGGCAGCCCCTTTCAATGAGAATGGGGATATAGATAAATGTGAGGTGCTGCATTTTGGTACAGCAAATGAGGGCAGGACTTACACACTCAATTGTAAAATCCTGGGGTGTGTTACTGAACAAAGAGACATTGGGTGCAGTTTCATAGTTTCTTGGAAGTGGAGTCACAGGTACGCACAGAAGTGAAAAAGGCATTTGGCACGCTTGTCTTTACTGGTCAGTGCATTAAGTATAAGAGTTGGGTGGTCATGTTGCAGTTGTACAGGACATTGATTAGGCTACTTGTGGAATACTGCATTCAATTCTGGTCTCCCTGCTATAGGATGTCGTGAAACTTGAAAGGATTCAGAAAAGATTTACAAGGATGTTGCCAGGGTTGGACAGTTTGAGCTATAAGGAGCTGCTGAATAGGCTGGGGCTATTTTCCCTGGAACATTGGAGGCTGAGGGCTGATGTTATAGAAATTTGTAAAATCATGAGGGGCATGGATAGAGTGAATAGTCAAGGTCTTTTACCCATGGTAGGGGAGTCCAAAACTAGAAAACATGTTTATGATGAGAGGGGAAAGATTTAAAAGGGACCTAAGGGCCAACTTTTTCATGTAAAGGGTGGTGTATGTATGGAACGTGCTGCCAGAGGAAGGAATGGAGGATGGTACAATTACAACATTTAAAAGGCATCTGAATGGGTATATAAGTGGGAAGGATTTAGAGGGATATGGGCTAAATGCTGGGAACTGGGACTAGATTAATTTAGAATATCTGATCAGCATGGACAAATTGGACCGAAGGGTCTGTTTCCACGCTGTACATCTCTATGAGTCTATTTGTGCGGTGTCCTCCTCCAGTTGTTTAATTGTCTACCACCTTTCACAAATCGACGTGGCAGGTCTGCAGAGCTCAGATCTGATCTGTCTGTTGTGGAATCGCTTAGCTTTGTCCATCATTTGCTGCTTGGCATCCAAGTTCATAGAATCATATTATCCCTATAGTGTAGGAACAGGCTATTTGGCCCAACAAGTCCACTCCAACACTCCATAGAGCATTCCACCCAGACCCATCCCCCTACCTTGCAACCCTGCATTTCCCATGGCTAACACACCTAATCTACACATCCCTGAACACTACAGGCAATTTAGCATGGCTAATCCACCCAACCTGCACATTTTTGGACTTTGGGAGGAAACTGGAGCACCCAGCGGAGAATGTGCACCCAGCGGAGAATGTGCAACCTCCACACAGACAGTGGAATCAAACCTGGGTCTCTGGTGCTGTGAGGCAGCAGTGCTAAACACTGAGCCACCGTGTTGCCATATTATGTTTCATAACTTCAACAGGTTGACATCAAATTTTGGGTATGTCTGGTGCTATTCATGGCATGCCCTCTATCATTGTCCAGAGGTTCATCTGTTAGCTTGATGGTGATTGTTGAGTGGAGGATATACTGGACCATGAGGTTGCAGATTGTGTTAGTGTACAATTCTGATGGCACACAGAGCCTCATGGATACACACTCTTGAGTTGCTAGATCCATTCCAATTTAGCACCGTGATAATCCCAAACAATGTTTATATATTCTCACAATGTTTGTGTATCCTGTGAAGTCAGGACTTTGTCTCCACAAAGACTGCAGTGGTCACTCTTGCCGATACAATCATGCAGGCAGATTGGTGAAGATGACGCTGAGTATGTTTTTCCCTCTTGTTGGTTCCCTCATCATCTGTTACAGACTCCGTGTAATAATAATGTCTTTTAGGGCTTGACAACTCGATCAATATTGTTGCTGGCAAGTCACTCTTGGTGGTGAACACTGAAATCCGCCATCAGAGTATATTCAGTCATAGATCCAGAAAGTCATACAGCATGGAAACAGATCCTTTGGTCCAATCAGTCCATGTTGACCGTGTTTCCAAACTAAACTAGTTCCACCTGCCTGTGCTTGGCTCATATCCCTCCAAACCTTTCCTATTCATGAACTTATCCAAATGTCATTTAAACATTGTAACCATACCTACATCTGCCACTTCCTCTGACAGTTCATTCCATACACAAATCACTCTCTCTATAAAAAAGTTGCCCCTCATGCCCTTTTTAAATCTTTCTTTTCTCTTAATGACACTTAAATGGCTGCCAACATCACTTGAATTGTAAGTTGTCAAACTTTCAGGAATATTCAAAGGAATATCTAATGAC